CCAATAGTTCCCCTCCACCCAGTTCCCATCTCACCCTCTGCCCTTTTATCCCCTCCCCACACTGTCCTCATCCATAGGTGTGTGATTTCTGTCCAGTCTCTTCCCACACCCTCACAACCCTATTCCCCTGAGAGTTATCAGTCCACTTCCTTCTATGCCCCTGATTCTAATCTATGTCGCCATCTTAGTTTCTCTCAATTTTCAACTTTATTAAAGGAAAATCTAAAATCATTGGTAATCCTATCCCAGGCCTTGGGGCCACCCTCCATGGGTCTGCCCTCCTGACAAGGCACTACTTTGGTGTGCTGACAGAGAAGCCATCTGCCCTTTCTCCTTCAATGCATGACTCATGAACTCCCTTGGCATGACTGCCTCCATGTAGGTCACCCGTGTGTACAGACCAGCACACTGACTATCCCCCTTCAGGAGCTCTGTCCCTTCTTGTTTGTTCCTCTTGTTCAGTAAAGTCCCCTGAGGGAGTCCTCTGGGCCATAGGCTGGGTACCTTTTTGGCTCTCAGTTTGTGTTGCCAAAGTGCACATCTTGTGTTGGGGCCTTGCTGGAATTGAAACCAGAGTCCTGGCTAGATTAATGGGGCCTAAACAGCAGCCTGGGAACCAGGAGAGAGAAGGGGTCTCCTGGGCCCAGCCTCTCCACCCCAGGAGTAAGGCAGATCCACCCTGCCTTGATCCCAGCAGATCTTGATCCTCTTAGACACCCCAAGAAGTGCTCAGGGCTTGTAGAGCCCCACTGCCCAGTCACACCAACCTCGCCTGCAGGCTCCTTCCTCCCGCCCTCCTCTTCCCAGCCATGCCTCCTTCCCCTCCAGGCTGGGCTTATGGAGAGTGGGCTGGCTTCCAGTTGTGTCCCCATACCCCAGGGTGCTTGTTGGTGAACCAACTGATATAAAGGGAAATAGTGACCTGGGAAGGTTCTAGACCTTTCAGAAGGTATGCCCATACCTAGCTCTGACGTGAGCCTGCCTTCTTAGTGTAGCAGGTCCTCGAGTAAGGTTATTTTATTCAACCTCTTTGGTTTATAATGTTGATGAAGAAAAACTCCATTCCTAGAGGGGGCCACTGTGTGGAGTTCACATGTCCTCCCCATGTCTTTGTGGGTTTTCTGCATGGTTTCCTCCCACATCCCAAAGATGTGCATGTGAGATAAGCCTGTGTGTCTCCATCATTCCAGGCTAATGTGGGTGTATGGAAGGTTGACCTTCAATGGATGGTGTCCCATTCAGGTTGGGGTCTCATCTTTTACACCCTGAGCTGCTGGGAGAGGCTTTGGGCATCAACACCATAAACTGGAATAAGCAAGAGGGAAAAGTAGGATCTTAACCTATCTTTATGAATTTTTCTTAAATATATGTAAAGCTCATGCTGACTTCAAAATTTTGTTGATTTTTTGTTTGTTTGTTTGTTTGTTTGTTTGTTTGTTTTAGAGGTTTGGTAATGTTTTTGAAATTAGAAATATGCCACAGGAACTGAGCTCATTTCTCAGGTATATGCCATTTCACTTAAAGTTACCTTTTCCAAGAACCTATCCTGATGACACTAGGACTTATTGTACCTGTGCCTACCCCCAGCCAAGGTCCACAGGACATTTGCAGTTGGCCTGCTTATCTGAGTCCACTGCAGGTTTTGGCTTGTAGATCCCAATTTCCCGGAACCTGCCCCCGGAGGGGCGGAGCAGCAAGAAGGTTACTAATTCATTCCCTTCTTTCTCTCAGGTTCAGAAGCAGCCTGCCAGGCACTGGAGCCAAAATGAAGCCTCCAGCCTCTGCCCGTGAAAGTGCCATCCTTCTGGTCCTGTTGCCGCTGCTGGCTGTCCTCCAGACCACCTATGCCCAAAAGGTAGCGGGTGCCTCAGGCACCTGTATGCGCACCAGAGTGTGAGTGGTATGAGCTGGTGAAAGAGTGAGAGCCTGTGTGAGGGTGAGTGTGCAAATGAACACAGATCTGTGTGTATGCAAAAATATGGTGCTGATCCTTCACCAGGCATATCCCCAGGGCTTTATAGACTCTCCGTCTCCTCTCCCTGGTCCCTAGAAAGGGTGATCCTACTCCCATTTCCAGTGGGTACTGCAGGTTAGCAAGTTGCGCCTGGAGGCCAGAGTGGGGGAGGTAGGAGTGGGGATGTTGAGCCCAGTTCGCCCACTCCCTGGCTGAATGGCCTCAAGGTAATGATGCTTCCTGGCCTCCTTTCCTCATCAGTGAAGCAGGATAATAATAGACCCCTTTTGGAGGTTTGTTGTGGAGATGGAACCTGTAACACTATGAAGTGCTTAGTACAGTGCCTGGCACAGAGCAGACACTCATGTGTGTAACAAGCCAATCACCCAGATATCCACCTCTGCTAGGCTGTGTGTGCAGGTGAATAAAGCCTGCATAGTGTTTCATATGCAGGTTGGCAGGAGATATGTAAGGCTTCTTATGTGAGCATATGTGAACCTTAGACCTGGGTCAAAGAGCAAGTGCCTGGGTCAGTGAATTGGGTGACCGACCGTCTCACAGGGTCAGAGCCTGTGCTGCAGGGCAGGCAACTGGGGATGGGGGTGGGTGCAGGGAAAGGGGGCAAAGAACGTTCCCAGCTCTTAGAGACTGGACCCTGGTTCCTTTCTTTTCTCCCATCTCCTGGAGGCCCCTGCGGAGACTGGCAGGAGCTGTGTTCCTCCACTCTGGTCGCCTGAAATCAAAGGACTTGTTTGCTGCCCTTACACTGTTCAGAGCTAAGCCCGTGAGCTTCGTGATCCCAATCAGGGTCAGGAAAAGTGGGAGTCCACTCACAGACACTCTGGGGCTCATGCTCCACCTTTCCACCCTTTGTGTGTTGACAGACTGGACCCTGCCCCTGTCAGTGTAGGTTGGGGAATGGAGCAAAGAGCTCTCTCTTATTTGAGAGAAAGATTCACATGTGAAATGCCTCGCAGGGTGTTGCCTGAGCCATCCATAGTCAGTGGGGGTCCGGCCAGGCTTGGTTTGGGACCTAGGTCAATGCCAGTCTCTGGAAAAGCATTGCTACAGGCATGACTGGCATTGTGATAGTTCCCCCACTCCTCCTTCACTGCTACAGAATGCCATCGACATCTACAGCCTCACTGTGGACTCCAAGGTCTCCTCCCGGTTTGCCCACACGGTCATCACCAGCAGGGTGGTCAACAAAGCAGATTCCATGCAGGAGGCCACCTTCCAGATAGAGCTGCCCAAGAAAGCCTTCATCACCAACTTCTCCATGTAGGTGCCTACCTGCTGGCCGCCGAGTCCCCTCCCCATCCAGCACTGCCATCCCCACCTCTGCATTCCTCCCTGCGCTGTGCATTCAACCCTTTTAGCCCTTTTGTCTCCAACTGGCAGGGGAGAATGCATCTCCCTCCTCCTCAGCCTGCCCCACAAAACTGGCCACAGGGATGGGTGCACACACAGCTCAGAAAACACTTGCTGGAGGTGGGCAGGTTCCTCTGGGATAGTCTGTGAAGAGCAGGGGTAGTTGGAATGTGGGGCCAGAGCAGAAGGGAGAAGAGAGACCAGGACTTAGCGCAGCCCTGCCTCCTCTGGAACCCTCCTCTCTTGTCTGTTCAGTAAAACGAATGTTCACTTAGGTTGTACGTGCCTCAGGGTAGAGGGAGGCCTGGCACACCTTGCAGAGGCTGCCCGCCCTTACCCTGGCTCCTGCACAGTCTTGTACACAGTAGGCGCATAATAAATGGGTGAGATCTGGTAAAGGTAGGAGTCACTCTACCAGGAGGCACAGCAAGTCACAGACAGGCTCCCTGGAGGAGGAGGTGATTGGAGAGAGTTCCCCCACCCCACCACCAGACTCTCCACGGCACCCACTCTCCTGCCCCAGGATCATCGACGGTGTGACCTACCCAGGGAACATCAAGGAGAAGGATGCAGCCCAGGAGCAGTACAGTGCAGCCGTGGCCAGGGGGGAGAGCGCTGGCCTCGTCAAGTGAGCCCAAGGGGGTGTGGGAGACCCCAGTGGGGTGGGGCAGAAGTTGTCCCTGCCTTTAGTTCTGCTCCTGCCTCCAGTGTCCATACCCTCCCTGGTCTGGAGGGGCAGGCCTGATGCCCTCCTCCCCCAGGGCCACTGGGAGAAAGATGGAGCAGTTCCAGGTATCGGTCAGCGTGGCTCCCGCTGGCAAGGTCACCTTTGAGCTGGTGTATGAGGAGTTGCTCAAGCGGCGTCTGGGAGTGTATGAGCTGCTGCTGAAAGTCCAGCCCCGGCAGCTGGTCAAGCACCTGCAGGTACCCGGAGCTGCCTCCTCCCAGGAGCCTCCTAGAGGACCCTGTGCTGCCGAGGGTGGCCCTCAGGCCCTCTCTGCCTCCTGAGAGGCCCAGGCCTGGCTCCTGGCTAACCCCGTGACCCATTTCTTCTTCCAGATGGACATTCACATCTTCGAGCCTCAGGGCATCAGCTTTCTGGAGACAGAGAGCACCTTCATGACCAATGAGCTTGTAGACGCCCTCACCGTCTCACAGAACCAGACCAAGGTGGGCCTGCCACAGTGGGTGGGAAGTGTGGGTACCGAGGGGCCTGTCTTCAGGCCAGCCCAGTGAGCTGGATCTCCAGAGAGCGGGACAATTGGGCAGAATCTCTCAGCTGGCGAGCTTCTGAGATGTCTGTGTCCGCACTGACATGTGGCAGATGAGGAGGGCAAGGCCTAGAGGAGAAGGGCGGGTGCTGGTTTGCACCTGAGGTTGGGGGCTCCTGGGAGAGGACACTGACCTGAGGGTCCCAGGACCAGGGGGAAGATTGAAGGCTGAATCACACACATCCTGAGCCCAGGCTCTGCTGGTATGGCTCCGGAGCAGAGGCTCCTTTTTCACACCCAGGCTCTGTACTGAGGCCGCCCACCTGACAGCCCAGCCTGAGAGAAAGTTCCCTGGCGTTTGGCATAAGGTGGAATTCTCATCCAGGTCGATTCTCAGATGTGGTGAGGAGTGTGAGCGTGGCCTCACTGCTCCCCAACATCAGCCCAGTCGGTCGTTCCTCCAGGCTCACATCCGATTCAAGCCGACGCTGTCCCAGCAACAGAAGTCTGCAGAGCAAGAGGACACAGTGGTGGATGGCGACTTCATCGTCCGCTATGATGTGAACCGCACCCTCTCGGGAGGCTCCCTTCAGGTGCGTGGGCTCCAGGGAGAGCAGAATAACAGGAAATCCCTCCAGCCTCTGGAGCCTGAGCCTGGCTGTTGGAGAAGAAAAGCCAAAAAAATGGCTCCTGCTGGTTAGTGTGCACCAAGGGCAACAGACAGAAAACACGCAGTTTAGTTCTGCTGTCCCTGAAAGAATTCCCTTTCGGAAGCAGAAAGTTTCATCTGCTAAAGAAGGTTTCTTACCTCTAAACTGCCTCAGCTATTCAAACAAATAGGAGGCAAAGTACAGTTCTAGTGGGTCATGCATAGCACGGAAGTTTTCAGCAAAAGAGTAGCTCCACTGAGTCCTAAGAGATGGTGAGGAATGAGGAGGTGGGGGTGTGAGTGGGAAGAGACCAACCAGAGGACTTGTATGCATATGTGCATAAGCCATGGAAAGAGACCATAGGGTGGTATAGGACTGGAGGGGGACGGCAGACTGGAAGATGCCAATGGGGGAAAACTAGGACATCTGTAATACTTTCACCTGTAAAGTCTTAAAGGAAAAAAGATGTCATGGACTAGAGGAGGTTAGCAGTGGGACTGACTGAGGAGCTTAAATGAAAAGAAGATTGGGCCCAGGGATTTGGGGTGAGGAGGTGGGGTGGGCAGTGCAGGGCTGTAGCTCTCATCAGCAGGGGTGTGTCTCACTCTGGTCATAGATCGAGAATGGCTACTTTGTGCACTACTTTGCCCCGGAGAGTCTGTCCATGATACCCAAGAATGTGATCTTCGTCATTGACACCAGTGGCTCCATGATGGGCAGGAAAATCCAGCAGGTGGGTACCATAAGCCAGGGCAGGGCCCTGAAAACTCTCAGCTGCCTCACACCGTCAGCTCTGGTCTAGCAGGCAGACCCTCCCCCCTCCAACTTCCCGGGAAGGAGGCTTCCAGAGACCGAGGTCAGAGCTGTTCCTGACACTGGGGCCTTCACCATGTTCCCACTGCAGGTGTGGGCCTGGGGGTGCCACCCAAGGACACATGAACCCTAAGGAGGACCCCCTGACTTGTTTCCCCTTCCCCTGACCAGACTCAGGAAGCCCTCATCAAGATCCTAGAGGACCTCAGGCCGGAAGACCACTTCAACCTCATTACCTTCAGCAGGGAGGCAACCCAGTGGAAGCCATCTCTGGTGCCAGCTTCGACCCAGAACGTGGAGGAGGCCAAGAAATATGCTAACACCCTCAAGGCCCATGGAGGTGAGCACCTGGGCAGCCATGCAGGATTGGGGCTCCCAAACACGAACCCCACCTGGGAGGCATCCTGAGAGTGTGTGTCCCTCAGGAACCAATATCAACGATGCGATGCTGATGGCCGTGCAGCTGCTGGAGACAGCCGCCCGGGAGGAGCAGCTGCCCTCAGGGAGCGTGTCCCTTCTCCTCCTCCTCACTGATGGCGACCCCACTGTGGGTGAGGCACACTGCCCAGGGGGCATCACTGGGGCTGCAAGGGAAGTGAGGGGTCCCTGAGGCCTCTCTGGCTCTGAGATTCCAAATATCCCCTGAGCAAATCCCTGTTTTCTCACCCCTGCCCCAAACGCTGAGTCCAGGCGAGACCAACCCCAGCAAGATCCAGAAGAATGTGCAGGAGGCCATAGGCGGTCAGTACAGCCTCTTCTGCCTGGGCTTTGGCTTCGACGTCAGCTACGCCTTCCTGGAGAAGCTGGCGCTGGACAATGGCGGCCTGGCTCGGCGCATCTACGAGGACTCGGACTCCGCCCTGCAGCTGCAGGTGCCAGCCTCCCCCTGAGGGCTTGGTGAGTCTGGGATGACCCTGCCCGGCCCTGGTGACACCCCCCACTCTGCAGGACTTCTACCAGGAGGTGGCCAACCCCCTGCTGACCGCAGTGACCTTCGAGTACCCAAACAATGCTGTGGAGGAGGTCACGCAGGACAACTTCCGGCTGTTCTTCAAGGGCTCCGAGATGGTAGTGGCCGGGAAGCTCCAGGCCCAGAGCCCTGAGGTGCTCTCAGCCCAAGTCAGCGGGAAACTGGTGAGTGTGGACGGCTTCTTGGTGTGGAAGGGTGGCTGCAGCAGGCATCCAGAGTGGCTAGGTTCAAACTCCAGCCCTATCAGACTCCAGCCGACTGCCTTGGGCAAGTTCCAAAGTGCCCCTGTTACCGTGGATGACCTCAGTCCCCACTGCATAGCTGATGTGTGTGTGGTGGGGGTGGGGGTGGGGTGTCAATGAAGTAAGGTCCTGATTCTCCTGAGAGCACCTGAGCTTGCCAGCACCTGGAGGGCACTCCGGTGTCAGTCTGTGTTGCTACTGCTGTGCCCGTGGGCACCGGATTTGACATCCCTTCTATCCTTCACTAGCCCTCTGAGATTGCTTTCAGGCAGGGAGGGATGCTCCCACTTCACAGATGAGCAGACTGAGGTACAACGTGCCCTGGGGCGCATTGCAGCCCAAGCAAGACTCACCCCAGCTCTCCACATGGTGCCATCTCCTTGCCCAGTTCCCACTGCCTCTGTGCCACAGGGGACCCTCATTCCACAAAGAGTATCTGAGCACCTGCTGTGTGCCAGGACATACCTGGGCCCTAGGGATACTGCCCTCATGGGAGAGGCATTGGGTAAATCGTCACACAAAGAAGGAAAGACCCAGAGGCTGGGATGACCCTGAGAGGATGAACCCAGGGACTTGGGAGCAGCACTGGAGCCCCAACCTGACCTGAGGTCCGGGAGAGCATCCTGGACAGGACTCAGCTGCCACTGTGGGATGAGTAGGAGGCAGCAGAACCAGATGGTGAAGTGATGGAGGAATGTTTCAGGCATGGCAGGCGGGCACTTTGCGACCAGGGCTGAGTCTCAGAGAAGTAGCACGTGTTACAATGAGCAGTGCATTCAGCTGACCAGAGCCTGGCTTCCACCCCTCTTTGCCACGTCCGAGGGGTGAGGCCTGGGGATTTTACCGAATCTCCCCATGCCTCCGTTTCCTACTGTGTGAAAAGGAGAATCGGTCATCTTACCACCTTATGAGACTGCGATGGGATTAACATGTGGCCCAGGGTAAACATTCCACACATGTTAGCTGCTGGTGTTGTCCTGGAGGCTGGGAGTTCCCAAAGTGCGGAACCCAGGGTGACTAGGGGAGTCACACATGCCTTTGTTTGAATAACTACCTATTTATCCTAATGTATCTCCTGAGAAATGCAACTCCAACCTCAGATGTACAATTTCCCTGGTCATATTGCTTGGGACGAGGCCAAGTGGAGAGTGTTAGTCTATTTAAAGTTCACTTAAGGAAAACCATCAAATAGATAGCTGTGCAGGTGGATAGGGCAATTGTGCAGGTGGCCTGCAGGTGACAAAGGTGTGGGAGGCCCAGCTCTGGTGAGAGACAGAGGAGGGCATCTCCAGCATCGGGGTTGGGGTCTGATCCACATTGCAAGGGCTTTTGGCCTCCGGGGAATTGTGACAGGAAAGGCTGGAGTTCTTCTGCCCGCAGGCCCCACGTCCCAGGCTGCTGTCCAGGTCAGTCTGAGACCAGAAGGCCCCACCGCGAGAAAGGAAGCAGCAGTCCCCCTGAAACTTGTGCACATGCTTCTCTATCACCACTGGACAGTGTTTGGTCCCATCAGAGGGCACCAGCTTGGTCAAGGGGCAGCTTAATGGAGTACATGGGGTCCAAACCCTATTAAAGCCTTAGTTTTCTTTCCAACTCTGCCATGACTGCTGGGGAAGGCACTTCTCTCTCTGTCCCCAGAGTCTCCATCTTTGGGGTGAGCCCTCTTGGACCTTTTCTGCTTTAAACTGCATTTGCTGCTGCTTCTGCACTGACCCAGATCCCATTCTCATTTTCCTTGTTCCCAAAAGCTGCATGTGATCTGGATTCCTGGCTTTGCACCTGTGATAGTTTCTATCTTTCTATCCACGTCCTTCTCATCCTTGGAGGCTCTGTGGCTGAGCCCCTTACATCCCTAAACTCCCTCCCTGTTCCCCACATGTTCGAAGGGAATGCAGTTGTGACAGCCTATTCGTGAAACCTGCCCAGTCCCAACTAGGCTTCTCATGGAAAGCTGAGATGTACCAGGCCAGGTGCAGGCTTCAGGCCCTCACTGCTGCCCCTTGGCTTGGCCCCTCTTTCCAGCCCACGGAGAACATCACCTTCCAAGTGGAGTCCCAGGTGGCAGAGCAGGAGGAGGAGTTCCGAAAGCCCAAGTACATCTTCCACGGCTTCATGGAGAGACTCTGGGCGTACCTGACCATCCATCAACTGCTGGAGCGAATGTGAGTGGCCTGCACCCCCTAAGGCCTGCTGGGGTGGCCACACACGGCCTCATTGTCTTCCCAAGATCCTCATGGGTGGGACAGCACAGGTGGCCTGGGCATCTCCTATGTATGCAGAGAGGGGTTCATGGTGTGGTGTCTGAGCTCCAGACTCTCCCAGTAGGGATCCCACCCCCATTCCCCAGGGTCTGGAAGGGAGGGAGAATGGAGCTAGGCATCCAGGGACCAGCTGGGCCTCTGATTCTCTCTTCCTGCAGGGTTTCCGCATCCGATGCTGATAAGAACGTCCTGGAGAAGCAAGCTCTGGGCTTGTCGCTCAACTATAGCTTTGTCACCCCCCTCACGTCCATGGTGGTGACCAAACCAGAAGGCCAAGAACAGTCTCAAGTTGCTGAGAAGCCCGTGGAAAGTGGTGGGTGTGAGAGTGGGCTCCTAGCCTCTGTGGCAGCAGAGTTTGGACCCAGTCTTCTCCCCAACCCCTCCCCCACATCCTGTCCAAGACCCTAACCCTACCACTCATACTCCCAGGATCCCCAGGAAATGCATCCCATTTCATTGTTGAGGAAACTGAGGCCAGGTCTCCAGAGCCTCCTAAATGCACTGCAGCTGTGTAGTGCTGGGGTTGGGAAGCAACGATTAAATAAGCACTTCAAATGTATGAAAAGTACCCTGATGGTATCTCTCTCCCTCTCTCACTCACTTTCTCTCTCTTCTCTTTTTGTTTTATCCAGAAAAGGTTCCCTCAGGTAAGGGCCTAATACCTTCAAAGGCTGGCATTGGTGATGGGTGGCTGTATCAGGACCTCGGACCCCAATCCCACAAAGTTGCTGGCCAAGGCCTCTCCAGCCCAGCCTGCTGCCAGGAGGGGGCTTTGTCTGCCCAAGCACATTGGTGCTTTAGTCACATGTTCGCTCAGACATTGGCTGTCCTGGGCACTAGGGCACAGTCCCCATCCAGCCGGATGCACACCCAGGTCTCTCTGATTTCCAGGTCGCACTGTCTTCAGACATCGAACCATGGGACACATGGGGCCCAAATTACCAGGTATCAAGGCAGGGGAGGTAGTGGGAGGGGAGATTGACAGAATCTGGACCCTAGCCACAGTCTGGGCTCTGCCCTGAGTCTGTGTGAGTGGCTTGCTTGGCTCACCGGGCTGGTGGCTGGACTGGGTCTCAGTTCAGTGTGTGTGATTAGGAGACAGCCATGCAGGACGTTTTGTTAGCAGCAGAAGAAACCTCTGGGGACAAGGTAGTTTGAAGTGACTGATATCCCAGCGGGGAGGAGTTCAAGAAGGGTTCCTTTTCCCAGCTTTGAGTTTCTCGGGGCTGTAGGGGGAGAGGCTCTCAGAGTAGTGGGTGTGGGGAAAGGAGCCATCTGTCCTCTCTACATCCATCTCCCGGGGTGGGTCCCAGAGCCCTGGCCATGGGGACCCATGACTCCGCTTGAGCAAAGACTGCAGATGTCAATGTTTCTAAAGCAGGAGTTTCCATGCACGCTCAACGTTATGACCTGAACAACAAGAGAGCGGGACCACCTGGATTGAGTCTTTCTGGTATTAATCATCATCCATTCTATCTTGATCATCGGGACTTGATCCTAATGCGCGGGATAGGTAAGCCATTGTTTGAATCATTTCCTCAAAGGGATAAGTAAGCCTGCCTGTAGAGTTAAATGAGAGCAATGAACTGCACAGGCTGGGCACAGGCCATGGACAGTTGCTGTGGGGCTTCACATGAAGTAGTGTGTCACGTATTTCACCGAACCAGACCCAATACAATCTGGAGGCTGGCTCAGCATGGAACCTTCTAGAAAGGGAAGACTCCCACCATTCCCAAAGCCATGAGTGGCCCGATGATCTGTTTCTGATCTCCAGGCTGGATTGAGACCCAGCCACAACACCAGCTGGAGCCTGTCTCCTCAGTGTTTTCCTAAAGTTTGCTCTCCTGAGTTGGGTGTATGTGGGCAGGGGTCCCAGGATGGAGCTTAGCGGGGCAGCAGGTGGCAGTGATGGCTGGAGGAGGGGAAGCTGATTGCTCTGAATCCTGATGGTCTTCTCCCTTTCCATTTCTGGCCATTCCTATACTGGCTTCTTTCTCCACTGATTGTCCTATTATAGTGGATGATGACCTGCATGATACAATGAAAGGTAGGCCCCCATAGCCGATCCCCTGAAGTTGACTATGGCCCTAGAGCAGGGAGACCCTGGGATGCGAGATCCCTGGGGATATCTTGGAACCTGTTATAAGGTTTCTCAATGATGAAGTGGAAAAGGAACCCTGGCCACACCCATACAGTATCCCATCCTTCTGTTGGCCTGGCCCCCAAGTTTGAGAAAGGGCATGCCTAAACAAAGACTTTTTCTTTCAGAAACAAGCCCTACAGCCCCACCACCAGGTAAGTTGCCTGCCTTCCTCTGCCCCCCTTCCCATCACTGCACTCCAGAATGTTCTACCTGCCCCAGCAACCACATCTGCTGCCCCAGCCTCCATCCAGGCTCCCACCGTCATCCTGCCTCTGCCGGGGCAGAGCGTGGACCAGGTCTGCGTGGACATCAAGCGCACCCCGGAGCCATTATTACTCCTGCTCTCAGACCCTGACCAAGGTGAGGCCTGACCAGTCACCTTCCAGAGAAACCCTCTGCAGGAAGGCAGTGCCCAAAGCGACCTAGAGGCCAAAGTCCAGAAGGGGAGGCCAGGCTGAGGGAGGGGCATATGGGGCTGCACGGGGTCACACAGCAGTGACTGCGCCTTGGCAGACAAGCGGGGGTTTTCTAGGGAGAGGCCGAGGTTGGCAGAAGCCCAGAGCCCTGAAAGATAGTAGTGGGACCTTAGAGAGTATGGAGGAGTGGAATGGCAAGAAGAGGGCAATGCTGACCAGAAAGAACGGTCACACTGGCTGAGCTGAGGTAACACGTCAGACATGGGGACATACAGCACTCAGGGATGTTCACACACAGTCTCCCACCTCCACACACCAGGCCTAAAGTCTCTTTGCTCCTTGAGGGCAGGGACCACTGATTTTCCAACTCCGTCTGGGCCATGGCACCTAGCTCAGGGCCAGGCACACTACAGCGCTTTCTAACGGTTCCTGGATTCAGACACGATCTCCCTTCTCAGAGGGCTCACCTGGACCTGTCTATCACTGAAGATTTGTGATCCTTCCATAGTCAAATGCAACCAATGGATAAGAGAAAAGATTGTGGAAACCAGACTCCAGTGTGAGGGAATGCTGGGGGCAGGGCAGTGAGGAGGGGGCTGGTGAAGGACAGTTCTGGGGGACAAAATCAGAGAGCGCCTCCTGTGCAGGCCAGTGCCCAGCCAGGCCATGCCTCTGACCTCTGCTCTGGGCTCTCTCAGGTCTCGAGGTGACTGGGGAGTATAATATGCAGAAGGCCCAGTTCTCCTGGATCAAGGTGACTTTCAAGAATCCCCAGCTGCAGGTCCGCGTGTCCCCTGAGCATGTGGTCGTGACTAGGGGCCGAAGAAGCTCTGAGTACAAATGGAAGGAGACGCTGTTTGTGGTGATGCCTGGGTAAGTCACAGCCTGGGTACCAGTGGTGATGTCTCAGGCTAGTGAGTTATATGTTAGTGACAGTGCTGACCGGTGGCCTGAGGCCACAGTCTTGGGGATAAAGTGCTTGGGCAGGGCATGAGTCCTCTGCTATTGGCTGCCTCTACCTGTTGGGCAGAACCATACCTCTTTTTCTCTGTGGTGGCACCCACGGTCATGCCCCTGAGCAGTGACCCCTACACTCATACATCCAGCCCACAGACCTTTCATTGGCCACCACACATGCAGGTCTGGGTGGCCTGGCACATGGAGGGGGACCAGCTGTGGGCTTCTCCATCAGAATGTTCACACCTAACCCAGGACACTCTCGAGCGCAGGTGCATTGTGGGTTGGAGCCACACTGTTGCTATTTGTGTATGACCCTGGGAAGGCTGCTTAGACCCTCTTAGCCTAAGTTTCCTCACTCATACCTGGGGAAAATTACCCCAAGCCTGAGTCAGAGGCTAAGCAGAGACCCAATGAGGAAAGATGACAGGGAGCACTTTGCTCATTAGAAGGGGTGGTGCCCACGGGGCCTGCCACAGGGCAGCTGTCTACATGGTGAGGGAATGATGACAACAGTGAGGAGTTGGAAGGCACTGCACCAGGGGGAGGTTAGGAAAGTCTCTTAGCATCCTCCTGACGCTCTGAGGAGGAGAGACGTCCACCCAACTTCTGGCAAGTCATGGAGGGGCATGGCGACCTTCCTGGGCGGGGCTGCTTGACCATCGAGCCTTTCTGAGGCAGCTGTCTGGGTGCAGAAGTCACGAGGGGACTGGAGTGAGGCTGATGCTCAGGCCCTCTGGGAGCACTGCCCTCGTGGTCCCAGCCTGTGCTGAGTACAGAGACTGGTTTCCCCCTGACAAGTGAGTGAGCACCTGGCCAACCTGAGGGCTCACCTGAAAATCTCCCCATTTCATGAAAGAAAGTTTCCTGTTATCTGACAAATACATACACAGCAGAAGATGAAATAAAGAACTCCTCTTAAGCATAGTGACAGGCTCCACACACTTTCACGAGCTACAGAAGATCTCCGTGCAGAAAATCAGACCACACCTTGTAGTGAGTCTCCAGGCGACAGTGGAAACTTAGTGCAGGTCCCTTTAAGGTAACCTCAGAGTACCAGCTGGGTCTTATTCAACTTGCTCGAAGGAGCCTAACATTCCTAAGAGAACCAAAAAGGTAAGCCTGTCAGAGATTATTGTAAGTAAAGGAGAAGGGGATAGAATCAGAAGAGACTTGTCCTTGTACATGTTAAACATACAAGTAAACACTGATCATCAAGGGAAAGTAGCTCAGGCACAGTATGTCCGATACCCCCGGAATCATATCAAAGGAATTTATGGGGAACCAAATCTAAGAAAACAGAGGGAAAGGAACCGTTATTTTGTTGTAGAAATGCTGGGATCACCAGATGTCATTAAATTAATGTTGGTCCCAGTTGCTGAGGAGAAAACTGAGGCTCAGAATATGTAATGGACTTCCCACCCAAGGCCACAACAGGGATTGCCCCACCCACTCCACCCCACCCCACCGGCCAGGGTCCCCTGAGGGGGTCGGCATGCCTACCTTGCTCTCAGGAGCCTGGGTTTCCCCACAGCCTCACGATGACCATGGACAAGGCAGGGCTCCTGCTGCTCAGCAGCCCAGACAAAGTGACCATCGGCCTGCTGTCCTGGGACGGCCCTGGGCAGGGGCTTCGGCTGCTTCTGCGGGACACTGACCGCTTCTCCAGCCGCGTCGACGGGATCCTTGGTATGCTGCCCGTGACCCTGGCGCAGGGCATCCTCCACCCACCTCCACCTGGGCACAGGCAGTGCCGTGTGTCTCCCAGCCCCCGTGTCTTCATCCCTCACTGACCACCCTTTGTCTCTCAGGCCGCTTTTACCAGGGCGTGCTCTGGGGGCCGCCAGATGCCACAGATGACAGCAAGCGAACACTGAGGACTCATGGGTTTGACTACAGTGCCACCAGGTGACTCCACGCAAACAGGCCAGGGCTGGGACTAGGAGGCTGAGAGCTGGTCCCTGGGGACCTCCACTCCCCTGTCCGTACCTGGGATCTAGAGATAGTCAGGTGAAAGGTTGATGCTTTAGATGTGTGTGACCCAGCCCTCAGTGTGACCCACAAAAATGGTCAACTCAGACCCACAGAAAACACCGCAGCCAGAGATCACTAAGGGTGAGTTGGGGGCATTAGCAAACTCCCTGAAGTCACAGAGCCCTGGGCCCTGGACAACCAGGTGCCATTGGGTGACAGGACCTTGTCAGCCTGTGCTGGAGGGAATTCCAAGGGGCCCTGAAACCCCACCTTCCACTTGCCCATCCCCAGCTCTCTCCCTCTCTTCCCACCACACCTGCTAACCACCCATGTGTCTGTCTTCTCTATCCATCCCAGAGAGCTCAAGGTGGATTACCAAGAGGGGACCCCAGGAACAGAGATTTCCTGCTGGTGTGTCGAACTATAGTCCTGATGGCAGGAGTTATACCCACCCATCCACCCTCTGCCCCCCTTTCCACTCCACTGTGTGCAGATGGCTGTCATCTTGTGACCAGAGCTGCCTGTTGGGTCTCGCCGTGATCGGGAGGGGAGTGCCACTTATTACAAATAAAGGAAGGCAGTGTAAATCAGGGAGTGGGCGTCTCTGATTCCATCCAGCCAAACACCAGGCTGTAGAACCTCCCCCTGAACACTTAGCATCATGTGACATTAGAATCTTCCCATGATCAGCCCACAAAGGCCTGTGGCCAATAGGTCCCTGAGGAGCTTTTGGTCCACTCCCTTCATTTCATAGGGTGGAAACTAAGATTTAGAGATTGAACCACCCATGTAGTATGTCACTGCAGGACCAGAAAACAAATGAAATGTCATGTCATTTCATTTGTTAATTCTCACCCGAAGATAAGTTTCCATTGATTTTTAGAGAGAGTGGAAGGGAAGGGGAGAGACACCGAGAGAAACATCGGTGTGAGAGAGACATTGATTGGTTGTGTCCTGCACGAGCCCTGATTGAGGCCAGGGATCAACCCTGCAATCAAGATACATACCCTTGACCAGAATCAAAGCCAGGACCTTTAGTCCTTGGGTTGATGCTCTGTCCACTGAATCAAACCAGCTAGGACCATGAAAACCAGATTTGACTCTTCCTATCTCTGTTTATAAAAGTGAACTGGGTAGTTCTCAGCAAGCTTTCCAACCGGGCTTGCAGATGCAATTTGATTTTCACACCTGGGCTCCCTGCCTGGAAAGGAGCTAGCACTGGAATACAGGAAACAGACCTGAGGCCCTCATCCCAGGAGGGATGTGTCTGTCCCATGGAGGTAACCAGGTGCCCAACTCTAAATCCTCTCCTATCCATGCACCAATTCCTGCACAGTCAGAGCGTACTTAAAAATCATTTATAGCCCAGGTAGCTCAGTTGTTTGGAGCATCACCCTGTACACCAAAGGTTGCAGGTTCAGTCCCCAGTCAAGAGCACATACCTGCATTGTGGCTTTGATCTCCAGTTGGAGTGCTCGCAGGAGGCAACCCATTGATGTTTCTCTCTGACATCGATGTTTCTCTTTCTTTCTTCCTCTCTGTCTAAAAATAAATAAATACGTAAATAAATAAATGAATGATAAAACATATTCTTGGGTGAGGATTTTAAAAACACACACTTTTTTTTTTTAAACAAAGCCCATGGGAATAAGAGAAGAGCCGAGTAGGGATGGGATTTCAGTTGGGAACACCCTAGTGGAGAAGCTGCAGCACAAAACTTTGCTCTGAGCTTCCCCACAGCCAGAGGAAAGCAGAAAAGGAGCTCATTTGCTTGTTAAGAGGAAGCAAAGCAGATCATCAGGGAAAGCCTTTTCCCAGCTCTTGAGCTTTATAGGGTGTTTACTGAGTGAGTCTCTCTAGAGGGGTCAGAAGAGAGGCCCATAGGTGGGAGCCAGCAGCAGGTTTGCCAAAGGCACAGTCGACACTCCATCTGCCTCTCCCTCTGCCAGGTTGGCTGGCAGGGGTCTCAGGCTGTTGCTGTGAGATGAGAGAGCTGCCTTGGTGCCTCTGTTGGACTTGCTGTGAGGCCAGCTCTGACACACCTACCAAGATGAGAGACGGGGCCCACACCAAGCTCACCCTCTGGGACACCTCTTTCAGGGCTGGGCTGCGCTGGGCTGGGGGCTTGTTCGACAGCAGAGGAGTCAGAATGACTTTCTGGCCCAGCAGCAGGGCAGGTGTCTTCTGTGAACAACTGGAAATAGGTCCATGCCCTTCATTGTTTTGTTCACTGAGTGCTTTCCAGCACCTCCTTGGGCCAGGCCCTGGGCAGAGTGCTGGGGGCACCATGACAGACAGTGCCTGTGTGACAGATGCCACCCAAGAACAACCAGGTGCTACAAGGATCCCAGAGGGAGTCTTCTTGTTCTAGCTGGGGAGGATCCGGGAAGCTTCCAGGAATGTGGTGTGATTGGGGCTGAGTTTTGATGAATGAAGAGAACTCAGCCCAGTAGAAAAGGAGGACAAGGACACTGGTCCAAGAGCCAGGACATCGTGGTTTGAGTTCAGGGTAGGAGAAGAGAAGAATGGGGTGAGGAGGATGGTGGAAAGATAGAGAAGCAGGGCCAGGCCAGCACTGGCTGCGTGCACCTTGCCATGAGGCATGATTTCCATCCTTAAAGCCAGGGAGCCATCAGAGGGACAGCCAGAGTGACATGGGACTGGGATGAGGACAGAATCTGCCTGAAATTAGCCTGTAAGGAGGCCTCCCTGACTGTGTTGAAGGAGGGGAAGAGGTAGATTTGGGCTGTGGGCCTCCTCTGCCTTTCTGCCTACCTGCCAGGCGAGGCTTCCAGTTGGAATGGCAGGACATGGAAGGGTTTGCATACTTTAGGATGTCCTTTCCCAGGCTGGGCCCTTTTTGCCAGCCCAGCCCGGACACCTGCCATGTTTACTCTAGAGTGGTGTCTCATGTGCCCTCTCCCTAGAGTAGCAGCAGCGCCAGTCCACAAATTACCACTCATAGATGTCTGTGGGGAGGCAGACTTTTCTGATGATAAATGTTTCCTCCTTGACTGCCCCCCAATACCCTCTCCAGGACCCCAGGCTGGTGTCTCTAGGAAATCCAGACAGGCCCTGGAGTGGGGAGTAGGAAAACCTCTGTGTGGCCCATGACCAGATCCCATCCCCACCCCCACTGGCATTCATGATCCTTCCCAATAGATTCCAACCTCCTCTGGCCTTATTGTGTCCCTTGCTGTGCCATCAAGCAAAGTTGCCCATTGTTCCCTTCAAAGGGATACTCTCAATCCAGCATGCTCTTAGTGCTAAAGGCAGAGAGAGCAGCACAGGCAAAGGATTTGGAGCAGGAGGGCTTGTGTTTGCAGAACTAGAAGCAGTTGCGTGTCTGAAATACAGAAAGTTAACGGGAGATGCCTGGTTCATGGAGTTGATGATTCTGAGAAGCCAGAGGAAGGACTTTTGTCTTTATCTCAAGAGCAATAGGTGGGAGATGTCATTGACAGGGTGTAGGCAGGGAGCAATGATTGGTTCTGCTCTGGAAAGCTCCCTCTGGAAGCAGGGAGACCCAGGAAGGGGTAGTTATAGTTATTCAGGTGGGAGAGGCTCTCAGAGCTCCTAGGACCAGGAACTGCCTGACCCCCACATGACTTTGTAGGGTATGATTGAGAATCCCAAGGATCCCCAGCCCAGCTGAAGGCAAATTTGAGGTATCTGTGTACATAGAAACAGGAATCTCTGTGCCCCCAGATTCTAGCCCAGAATGCTGGTTTTATCTTATGAACAAATGGGTGCGTGGTACATGGATGGATGGACGGGTGGATGGATGGATGGATGGATGGACAATGGGCGGGGCCATGGATGGATGGTTGGATGGATCGATGGATGGGTGGGTGGGTGGATGGACGGGTGGATGGATGGTTGGAAGGATGGACAATGTGCACGTGGGTGGGTGGGTGGATTGATGGATGGCTGGGTGGGTGGCTGGGTGGATGGATAGATATATGGATGGATGGATGGACAGTGGGCAGATCCATGGATGGATGGATGGAAGGATGGAAAATGTGCACGTGGGTGGGTGGGTGGATTGATGGATGGCTGGGTGGGTGGGTGGGTGGATGGATGGTTATATGGATGGATGGATGGATGGATGGATGGATGGATGGATGGACGGACAGTGGGCAGATCCATGGATGGATGGATGGATGGATGGATGGATGGATGGATGGATGGATTGATGGATGGATAGATAGGTGGATGGACAGACAGTGGGTGGGTCGGTGGATAGATGGCATCTACCATCTGCTGCAATCTGTGCCAGCCCTGGAGGACTCTGCTTCTGAGTCCTCACAGAAGGACCTCCAGGCCTGAAGGACCCAACAGGAGCTTCTGAGCAAGGACCAGACGTTCCTCATGAACCTTTTAGCCTCTGAAATGCACTCAGCCCTTCCCAAATACTCAGAGTCTCTTTGCTCCAGAGTCCATTTTTTATTTTTATTTTCATCATACATTTGACTTGCCAAAGTGTGACACCAACCAGCCCTGTCCTTCAGACGCATTGCTGGGGAGGCCCAGGAAGCTGCCTTCCTAGCAGCCAGTCCTTGCTTTGAGCTGCCTCAGGTCCTGGCTGGTGTTCCCCAGAGTAGGGGCTGAGAGAGGCATGCACAGGCTGGCAGTGGTCTGGTTTCCACTGTGTCCTCTATTGTCACAGCCCTCCCTCAGGCCTGGCTCTGCGCTTTGCTCCAGATGCCAGGCGAGCTGGGCCAGCTACTCAGAATAGGTCAGGGACAATGTAGTCACTGTGGACCCCGTCAATCACCCCTTGGCCGTTGTTGTGGACGAACCAGCAGCCCATATGTGTGCCATTATGGACATCCTTCCTGTAGTCTTTCTGGTAGCCCCTGGAGAAAGGAGAGAGATGCTGTGATACACAGGGTAGACAAGATGGCTGCTATGCTCCTTGGACCAAGGTTGGAAAAGGGTGTGGCATTCCCCTCTACATAATTCTTTAGCTAAGAATGAGGTTGCATAGTTACTCCTTCTAGGGGCTGAGTGTGGCCTTTCCCTGATGAGAAAGGGACAAATGGGGGTCAAGATCCCAGAGGGAAATGCGGGCACCCCACAGAAGACAAAGCCTGCTGGACCAATGTGTGTGGGCAGAGAGGGCTCTTTCCTCCTGGATTGGTAATGGGCAGTGTGAGGGTGTCAGATGGGGCCCCTCACCTGGTGACTGCCAGCCGATGTTTCTTCACCAGCATGGTGGCATGTATCTTTGAGTGGTCATTGCCTGGGTTGAAGTCAGACACTTTAAAAGCAAGGGGGCGGAAGAATTGTCCTGGGAAGAAAAACATTTACACTGTCAGCCCCTGCCATCGCCCCAGGTAGCATGGCCACTGGCCTTCCATGGTTAAGGCAAGGGATGTGTGGGGTACTGTGTCTTGGGCATGGAGGGCCTTGCACATGGTTTTT